AAAAATGTTTTTGGAGCGAGTTTCAGGGCGAGTTTTGGGTTGGGGCGTAAATTAAAGACGTAGATCCATAAGGCGTAAGTCTTAAAACTTGAGGGTAAACTCTAAGCATAAAAACGTAAGTTTTGGGAGTAAAAATGTACACCCGGGCATTTTTAATTTATTTTTTAAAATTCTTTTTGCTTTAAATCATATTTTTATTATTGGTGTAATGATATTCTCAATAGTAATTATAATTCTTTTTTTCTTCATTATTGATTATTAATACTTATCTCAAATAAAAATCATAAATCATTGAAAGGTTTACTTTTGCTTATTTTATTAGTAATAAAACTATAAAATTGAATATACATGAGACTATGCCTCGTAGATTCATGAGACTTACGCCTCGTGTCTCGAAGCTTACGCCTCACCCTGTATTGTATAAAATGTCTAGCCTCACGCCCCGCCTTTTAAAACAATGTATGAGATAAATGGTGATAACTGAATTTTCCTTAGCTTCTTTCTCCAAATACCATTGAATATGGTTAAAGAATTAATCATACTTGGACTTGATTTCCTTTTTTGTTTTGATCGAGCTTCACACATTTCTCCTAATTTCAAAGTTCTTTTCTTTTTATGCTGAGTGTCGAAATATTTTTATATTTAACTCGTATTTCTTGATACGTGTTAAACTCTTAAACCCAATTGCTTTAAAAAAAATCTTGCACTTGAAATAACTTCTGATCTTCAGTACATTTCAAGTCATTTGCAAAACGACTTGGTTCTTTCACTTCTATAACTCAATTTTCACTTGTTCGTTCTAGCGACCTGTTAAGGATCATATTTTTTTGTAGTCGTTTGTCAATCATACATCTACTAATTTCATATTAACAATGACCTAACATTTAATTCTCTGTAAATATTTGTAAATACATCAAAACTAATTTCAGTTCAACTTAAAAATATTATGGACAATCCATCTTTTTTTTAAAAAAAATCCCCCTTTCTCTTTTTACGGGGTCATTATACATCTATGCATTTTTCTAATATATGCAATACCTTTTTATGTATAGACATTATTCTTCATATTATTTTGAAACACTCGTGCATCAAAATCAACCCTTTTCCGCTTTGGAATTTTCAACTAATTTAAATTCACATCATAAAGTTTTATTTGAGAATAAATTATATATAAAACGCTCCTTATCAAATATGATTTCATCCCTAGAACTCAAACTCTATTGAAACCTCCGATTAAAGACGCAAAGAATACTAGGGCCACCACACACTTAACTTTTATTTGTCTCGATCACAAATTTGTTGATTACAACTCCAAATTACATACGCAAAAGTATGTGATCTTTATCTCACAAGCCATGACATACATGATTGAGGGCAAGTGTATATATTATTTGGGCACAATTGTTCACAAGTAGGATAAAATAAAAGTGAGATGCATCACAATATGAGATTTCTGTGATGACTCGTCCTTGCACCAAACAAAAAGGATAAGGTGTAAAATTAATAGAAACATCATGAGTAGACTACTATATTCATCAACTTAAAAGTTTCTTATGTGTTATGCAATTTGATGCATTATTAGACACTAGTGCTAATCATATGACAGAAAATAGGATAAGATGTTTATTTTCCCCGTAAATTAACCATTCCTTTAAGGCTTTAACAAAAAGCAAATGACATCACTCAATCTTTTTATGTAGTCCACCTTGAACGCAATTTGCCCTTTTCCCCGGCCCAATTTTCTTAAGAACAAAAAGCCATATATTTTTTCAATGATCGTAGTGTTCAGATCAGCTTTTGTACACCTAGACTTGTTTAAGCTGAGTTTTGAATATGATACCTCAGAGTTCTCAACCATTTCATTGATCACTAGGTCACACCCTTAGATACAACAAAAAGTCATGATGTATATACCGTATACATCTCGAAGTTATTGATAAATCACTAAATAAAATTATTAATAAATTTTATTAGTTAGCTATAAATATCACTTTTTATATAAAATTACAAAGAGTTTCGATTAATGTATATACACTCTAAAACTCAATACTTATCAAATGACAGGATTAGGTCATTAGGTGGACCCTTTACACGTACGTATTCAAGCAACTAATTAATACTCATTAATAAAACATGAAGGAACTAGATATATGAGACCTTATCTGCATAAAATCGTGATAGTGAGTTAAAAAAGCCCATTACTTTACAAAGAAAATCGACGATGTTACACTTATACGTGCCATGGACTAATAATAGTGCTCGTTTCGTGTGAAGTATATATAAGTAGTATCACAAAATATATCTGTCAAATCTCGTTATAACAATCATGTTATAACAACATTTCATTGTAACGATCTACATATTTTTTATTAGAATCGATTTTTCATGTTATATTTTATTTCTCTATAATAGCACTTTATCTATTTAATAATGACATTCATATAGTAAATTTCAAGTACAAATATTAAAAAATGAAGTTTTCAGGCAAACATTACTAATATAACGAGATTTGGCTGTACATAAGTTTTTGTATTAACTTATAAAATTATTTGTATTTATTTAGACATAATAAAATGTAAAATAGCATTAAATGGATTAAAAAAATCAAAAGACAGAAAGCCCTCATATCAAGGCTAAATAGTTAACAAACTTATTTTATTTATAAAAAGTTGAGATGTTTTCTTAAAATTACATATTGTATAATTAAAACAAGCTAAATTCGCTTTAAAATTTTCTAAATTACAATTCATGTATTACTATCCTTAAATTCATTATAAATTTCTTAACTAATTCATATATTATTAATTTCTGCTCAAGCTAGTCATCCCTAAAAATTAAACATCACGACCCCTTGTGTTCAAGATATTTGGACATAAAGGAACATATCAAATATTTGCATTTTGTTTATGTTAAAAAAAGAAACTTCCTAGTGGAAGTGTTACGTATTTTCTTGGAGGACTAAAAAATAAATAAATAAAAAGATAATGCGCAGATAGCTCTGTGCATGATTGGTGAGTCTGCTACTTAATTAGTTTAATTTATTCACTCATTTCAAATAAAATAAAATGTTGTACAAGCAAACTTCATATATTGCTAAATAATAATACTAATTTGCTATGATATTAGAAAGTAGAAAGAGGCAAAGTTAGGATTTTATTTATATGGGTTTTGAATATTATTATGACTATTTCAGACGGCAATAATTGAATTTTAAATTTAATATTTTAAAGAAATTTTTTAATAATATATTATTTGAGCAAAAGTTACTAAGTTGACCAAACATGATATGAGCTTTTAGCTTTCACTACATCAAGAATGATCATTAGCGATAATTAATTAGTAACAATAATTTAGTTATTGCTAAATATATATTTTTAGTGGCAATTAATATTATTTGTAAGTGTCGTTAAAGTCCATAACGACATTGGATCCAATCACTATAACGACATTGGATCCAATCACGATTAAATAATGCCGATAAATGTTTTAGTAGTCTTTGTTAATGTGCATGTTTACCGCCGCTAAAAACTATTGTTGTTATAGTGTCTGCCAATTCGATCTAACCGTATTCGAGCTAGCTCTGAAAATACAGATTCATTTGGATAATACTTCACCCAAAAAATTGGTACGTCAATATAAATTTATGAGTCAAATTTTAAATTTAAAATAAATAAATTAAATCCCAAATCATATATTCAATACTGATTTAAAATTATGACTTCTAAGCGGTTCAAATACAATTTAAGTATTCTTCTTTACGTAATAAAAAAACCACAGATTGTTTACTAATTAGTGGGGGTCTATGTCTGCATTTTAAAAAATAATGGCAGCGTAATCTTGAAATCCTAAAATTAATGTTTTTTTTCTAATTTTAAATAGGTTCATTTAATTTTAAAATTGACCAAAAAAAGTAAATCTACATAGATCGAAAGGGAGAGGTATAGGTCCATCATATCTCCTAAACGTATTAGAGAGATGTACCATCACTTTTAATTTTGTATTCGCATCATCACCACAAGAGACCAACTTAGCTCGATGAGGATACTCACAAAAAATAAAGAAATTTGACATATTTAAGACGAGTCCGGGACCAAAATGACAACTTTTTTTCTTCAAAAAATATAAATCGTATATCAATTTTTTTTAAAACCAAAAGGGCAAAATCGCTCTTGAGGAAGCGATATCTTTAGTACAAAATTGACTCCATTTACACCGTTAAATAAAATTAAAATCTCTACCCCAACAGCGATTTCGTAAAAAAATATTTATTTTTTAAAATTAAAATCGATGCACCAGTAGCGATTTTCTTAATTTTTTTTTAAAAAATGTTTTGATTTATATTGGGAAAGTTTTTTTTCTTCTACAAATGAATTGGTTTAAGAGAATTTGTATAGAAGCAAATGCACTAAGTGACAATTCAAAAAAAAAATTCTTTTTTTTTATACAAGTCGAAAATTGGTGTTTTTTATTTACGTTAATAATTAAGAGTACAATCTGCAGATGGAAGAGAAAATGAAAAATTATTTGTGGGTGCAAAATGCATGCAATATAAATGATGGAAGAGAACGAAAAATTAAATATTTGCTTACCATTCTATATTTTCAAAATATATTTCCAAGAGAATAATTTAAAAAGAATAGATTTGAAACATATTACTAGTAATTAGGTGTTCATTGACATCAAAATTGGATTGAGTAGGACCAATACCATGTTTTCCCATAATCGGGGGCGGCTCAAACATATTAATGGCCTAAAGCAAAAATCAAACAGGGCCTTAAACTTAAATTGTTAATAACTTTTATATAATTAATTTCTTCTAGTTTTCAATTGATAATATAACCATTCTTATTTTAAATTATTTTTCATGAGATACAATACTTCAAATATGTCAAATTTCTTCTAATAATTCCTTCATTTTTCATGAAAAGTTTACTTTTTTTACAAATAGTATTCAATATTTGTTAAAAAATAATAACTTATAACCCATTATTATTACAAATGAGGCCCCTTAAATTTGGGGACTAAGGCATATATCTTTTTTTTAACACTGTCGAGCCACATCCCTGCCCATAATCAAGATAGCTCGTAAGGAGAGTACGACCCAGACCCAAGTTCATATAAGAAGACCAAACAACCCATCCCCACAGAGCTTCTCGAAACACTTGATCTAAAGTACATTAACCATCACAATAACTCAAGAGAAAAGGGCTTTTTTTTTCTCAACAGTCTCCTCCTTACCCAGAGCAGAATACACGAAAATCCGAGAAAATGAAATTACAAAAAAACTGAAAACAAAATTCTTGCACTTGTAAGAAAAATATTTGAACAATATGATAAAAGAAATGACTTCACAGTTTATTCAAAATTCTTATTAGTAACATCCCTTTTGTTCCCTCCCCCGTCCTGCATTTCACATTTCTTGATTTTCCATAGTTTTCGCAAGAGAACCCAAGAATTCTTTGACCTGCATACATATGATTTTGAATTGCATACTTTAGATTTCTCATCAACGACATTTTACTTTCATTATTTCAACAACATAGACAACAAAAATTTGGTATAATGTCACATTCCAAACCTCTGAAGTATCCCCGAGAGAAAAGATAGCGTTACTCTCTTTTGGAATAGCCGAAACAAGAATTCCATAACCTTGATATCTCCCCCTCAAAACCTGGATTTACAATTACTCTTTAATCTCACAGCATAAAAAACAGTGATGCTACTAATATTAATATCAACATGAGATTCTTTCGTCGTGTATTAGTTATGTACCTTGAATGCATCTTCATCTGTTCTGTCATCGCCAATATAGATAGGGAGCACATCATGGCTGTTTCTAAAACCTGCATTGTTGTGCATATATTTTATACAAATGGATGGAAGTTGGAACAATCCATTCTACAATTATTCTACTTTTTTTTTCGGGGAGAGGAGGGTTGAGGAGATCATGGACCAAATCATTGATGTAACATACCTAGTGAATCAAGCAAAAACTCAACTGCTTTTCCTTTGTCCCAGTCTATTACAGGACGGACCTCTAAAACCTATCGACAAGCAAAGAAAGGAGTAAGATTTTGACAAATTAGAACAATGTATATAATCATGTTACCAAAATCAAGTAATCGAGATACCTTCCGCCCATGAGTTTGTCGTAGTCGAGGGTATTCTTTCAAGACATCATGTACACATTGGGCAAGAATAGGCCAACTCTGCATTTAATATGAAAACCATCATCACAAACAAATGGCTGCAAAATAATTCATAAAGGTAATGAACCTCAGAATTAAGAGACTAATAGAAACAGCAAGGAAATGAGACTCACATTCTCATCTACGTTACGGTAATGTACAGAGGCACAAAATTTGTGGTTCTCAACTTTTGCACCTATTACTTCTTTAGTTTTATCGACGAGGGTTCTAAAAACCTGCAAGGTAGTCTAGCTCGTTCAGTTCAAGTCTGATAACATTCTCTTTTGGTGTCAATTAGTACTATTTATCCATTTATATGCAACAGATAGACAAACAAGTAAATCACCTCATCTATCATAGGTAAAAATTCACGAGCAGGCTGGAATAGATTAACTTCCTTGCCCTGCTCAGAACATTAATTAGAGCCTTCGTTATAAGAAAGTAACGTAGAAATGAGTAAAAAGGACGAAATGCCAATCTTTACTTGGCAATTGATGAAAATACGACTCTTATAAACTGTAATACCTGCTGGTCAGTAGATTTGATAAGTGAATCATTAGTGCACAACTCATTTCTAATTGGAAGCATGATGTCCATACCATGACTACCAGCATAATAGAGTTCGGTTAGTCCTACCAACTGATAAACCTGAAACAGGACGAACGTAAATCACAATATTTGCAACCTAGAAGAGGTCAAGAAAGTTGATGGTGTAAACACAAACAATGCCTGAATTACATGCTAATGAGAAAATCTTTACCTTATCACGGCTTCTTCCACTGATGATGGCTGTTGGGAAATGCTTCGCAACATCCCTGACAGCAGAACGCATCTGCAGAATTTGTAATTTCTTTTCATTGTGTGAACATCTTCAGGTAAGCTTCTTTCTTAAAATAAGGAAAAATCAGAGTAGTTACTTACTTCAGCGGAGATAAAAGCACGGTCAGGATCATCTACAATTGGAGAAAGAGTCCCATCGTAGTCTAAAAAGATAACAATCTTTTTATTCTTCGCATGGTTTACAATTTGCTGAAATGAGTTTAGTGCTGATGGATACTTGAACTGCACACAAATAACATGAAGAGAGACACTTGATTATAACGTATCTGATATTCACTCTACAACAACAACCCAGTGAAATCCCACTAGGTGGGGTCTGGGTATCTGATATTCACTCTGTCTACGAAAATATAGACAAGTGTGTGAAACTAAGGGAAACAATGAGGTATTGAACATACCATCCAAGAAGAGTAACCACATTTAGCATCATCAGAGAAATCCTCAACGCCTGCTTCCTTCTGAACCTTCTTACTAGGAGGTGACGAAGACTTCATTGCATCAAGCCAACCATTAGAACGAACGTCATCTAGCCTCCCTGGCTTCTTTCTCGGAATCATTAGAACACTAGTGGAGAATGAAAGCATTGATTGTGAATAAGTCAATAAGTTAGAATAAATCCACAACCTAGACTTACTTAATTAATTATCAACAAAGGATCTGTAAGAACAGAAGAAGCTTTCGCTGAATTCAAGTCGATTGAATCTCTAAGAATTTGACTGATTTTACTAGTTGAATTGTAGTACCTAATATTTTTATCCCACCTTTTTGTCGATGAAAAACCACCTCTTTAGTGTTCTCTTATTACTACTCCTGAGTTTACTGCCCATCAAGCACCGGCTTCCTGAAACCTGGTCAATCAAAAACTTGCATGACTGTCAAATTACTGGCATAATTTAGCCAATTATATGAATCTATTAGCACAAAAATACCTCATTTCCGGAGCCAAATTGCAGTTTAAGCAACACAACATGCTTGACTTACAATCCTTATATTAGCTATAAGCCTCTGTGCTTCCTACCTGGAGAGAAGAAAACAACGTATACATGTCATGGCGTTACTTATATCCAAAAAAACCAGTGGAGGCAAGAATATTAACTAAACAATGGTATGGTAACACACAACATGGAGCATTAAAAGAAAAATGAATCTTGTAATATTAACATAGTATAGAAAGTGTACTCAATATTCCTCGAGTCAATAAGGAACCAAGATTAATTTTAGTGCTTATAATCGGTAGGCGTTTTGTTGGTAGACCAGAAGAAAAAATAACAGAGATGACATCTTACTCTGCACAACTATCGCAATCCATGTCCTACAGGATGTTTGCTGTCTTACAGACATGTTTTTTTACGAACTGTGAAAATTTTCGTTTAAATTATAACAGTAATTATAGCTACTAACTGTCCAGTTTTATGGATTAAGATACAATATATGAAACAAGACTAGATGCATTTGAAACCTTTTCACCTTAGAGATCACTTACAAAACAGACAACTTTACATAATCGAAACTTTATCGAGTTAAAGCTCTCTGTAACCACATTTATACCATTACAAACACGAAAATTTGGAAAAAATAGCAGGGCAATGATATGAACAGTATTCAACTGTAAAGATTAATTGTTGTCTATTACAACAAAAATTATAAAATGTTGCAGTTGACTTTAAACAATATTAAAGGAAATGTACAATTCCGCATATAAAGGATGGTGGCATAGGCAAAACATGAATTCTGAATATAGAATATTACACGATCACGCCACTTACATAAAGTAATTACATATAAACTTGTACAATAAACATTAACTAGCACTTCTTCTATTAAATATTTACATCCATCTAACAAACAGGGTTGGACCTACGTGGGTGCTAGGGGTTCACCTAAACCCCCTCGACAAAAAATTACACCATATATCTAGCTTAAATTTTCAATATTTTTTGTATATAATACTAATTTTGAACCACCTCAATCAAAGAAGAGAGATAGCTCAGTGGTACTGGACTGTGCAACTTGGGTCGCAAATGCTATCCCCAGTTTGCAGGTTCAATTCCTGTTTGGGTGCGCACTCTAGTTCACACATTTATATTTTTAGTTTCCCAACCCCGGAGGCCATATTTTCTGCTGTCAAATATCACTATAAGCCCGGTTTTACTAGTACCAGGCACAAAAATGTCAACAACAAAAAACAGGGGTAAACCTTTGATCGATTGGTATTTCGCAAAATTTGGCAAAAAACATGCAAATTTGCGTACGCATCCACAATTAGGAACAAATTATTAATAATGATCAAGATGAGTTCGCGCAAGAATTTCAAAAAACAGAAAAAAAAAAATCAAAATAGTTGCATGAGAAAATGTCATTTAAATTGTGGAAAAAAAATGAAATATAAGTATAGTAGCTAAAATGTGAATAAATACCTGGTTGAAAGAGCTAAAAAAAACGTGAATATCTAAAATCCAATGTCGATCTTCTAATTCGAAGCCCAAAAGGAACTGTTAGATACAAAATGAGTTATACAAAAACAAAAACAAAAAAGTTAGATACCAAAGTAAACGAAAAGCATGCAGATTTAAAAAAGATAAAATAAAAAAAATGAATTTACCCAGAAATTGAATGAGAAAACCCTAAGAATTGGCAGAGATGTAACGGAAAAAATTAAGAAGGAGATTAATTAATTAATTTGAAAGTGTAAGTAATTTATAAAGATTAAGAAAAGGACATGTGGCATTTCGTCCATAATAAAAAGTAAAAAATAATAGAAAAACTATGTTTTTAACCAAAAGAAAAAAGAATTAATTATATTTGGAGTGGGAAAGGAAATGAAAGAGAAGATGAAGGATGTAAAAGGCCACGTATTTATAGAGTTTGATAGACGTGACATATAAGCAACAAATCTCTTCCTCCCATTATGTAGAATTTTTTACAGAAATAAGTCATTATTTAAATTAATTTATAAAAATAATATATTTTTTAATTTTTTTTACAAAATTAGAATAAACGTATTTGGCAGTAACGTTTTAGGTATTATTTTATTAAAAAAAGTCAATGACAAAAAGATAAAATTTGACGGAGTAAACAGACATAAAATGTTACTGTCAAATACGTTTTATTAATTCGTTACTCACAGTCACGTTTTAAGGCTAAAACGTTACTGACAATAACGACTCTTTAATAACACAAAAATAGTTTAAAGTCTCAAAACCCAACATGCTTTGCATACAGAGTAATTTGTAGCAAAAGAACGTTGAATAATAACACAAGAATAGCTAGCTATTGTTTTTACTTGTAAACGGCTAGAAAGGAAAAAGAATGGGCAGCTAGATTTAAAAAAAGAAAGCAAAAAGAATGAGTTCTTGAAGTCATTTAGATCTACGGGTTTTTGTTTATCCAAAAAAAAGAAAAAAAGGTCTACAGGTTTTCAAAGGCAAACTAAGGCTAATGATGCTAAATATATAATTTGTTCAGGTTAATCCTCAATTTTGACAAGATAAAAATTTAAAATCTAACTGGAAAGATGAATAAGTTCTTCCTAAATACAACAGATAAATAACCAGTGGAGTAAAATTGTACTGTCCTCATAAGGTATTCGTGATTGAATTTTAAAGAATCGTTACTGACAGTAACGTTTTAGCCTTAAAATGTGGCTGTGAGTAACGAATCAATAAAGCGTATTTGACAGTAACGTTTTATGTTTGTTTACTCTGTCAGATATTTGTTTTTTTGCCATTGATTTTTTTTAATAAAATAATACCTAAAACGTTACTGCCAAATATATTTATTCTAGTTTTGTAAAATTTAAAAAAAATGTATTATTTTGGTGAATTGGTTTATAATGACTTATTTTGGTCAACTACTCCATTATGTATGCACAATATATATATATATATATAGAGAGAGAGGGGTTCATTCTAATTCAATATTTTCTACGCGAAATGTCTTTAGGGGTGAAACGTCGCGTTCTACAAAATTATAATGTATAAATCTTATATATTTTATTAGCTTACGTATTAACTAAATGCTTTGAAGATATTTAATTTTTTTACCTACGTATCAAACACTAGAACTAAGTAAGAAACTTACTTATTTCATATTAAAGAATATGTTTTAGGAAAACTCCCCATCATGGTTTACTCTTTTGCAGCTGGTTTCAAGTAATAATAATAATAATAATAACTGATTGGAGTTTGCACTTATAAAAAGTTTCAGAAAAATAGAGTACAAAATAAGTAAAGATGTCAAATTGTCAGGTTGAATTCATTAAATTTAGGGTGGAAAAAAATGACAAATGTAGCTACTTTTTACATCGCTAATAAAAAATTAGTCACCATCTTAAAACTTAATTGTGTTTAGCCACTTGTATAATAGTTGGAGAAAAATACCTAAACTAAATTTGGAAACTTAGCTTCTTCTTTTCCATTTTTGGCTTTATCAAACCTAAATTACTAAATGCTTTCAAACTGTAACGGAAAAACAAGAAGCAATGAACTCAATGTATTTGTTAAACATTTAAATTACTCCCTCCATCCCCAAAACATATCTTAATAAATAATTTGTTCCAAAATAAATGTTATCTTAGGAATTCAACACAAAAATTAGTATGTTTTCCGATTGTATTCTTATATTTCATGTAGTTTAGTATACTGCACATTGTACTTATTAATTTCTTAATGAATGTGATACATTTAAGATGACACTTATTTTGAGACGGAGATTGTAATAAAAAAGGAGAGTTACGAAAATGATTTGGAATATGATACAATGCAAAAGTATTTAATTTCCATCACTACATGTGATGCAACAACTAATGATTGAAGCAACTGATATTAAATTTGTATATCAAAATTGAGTTATGAAAATAAAAAGAATATCTCTTCTAATGTTTAGTCAACGTTTGAATCTTTCTAATGATAAAAAGAAAGAAAAGATGATTATAATTTTAATATTAATGTTCTTGTGGCTACTTAGAAACCAGCAGGCATTTTCCATGTCTTTTTTATACGATGTCAAAGTTGACAATAGCAACGTACAGCTTGTCTAAAAATTCAAGGAAATTATAGTGGCGTTTGTAGTTTTATAACGCAAGGATTATTATATCATGGTTTTGTAGTTTTATAATTGGGAACTCAATGAAATCGATGATTTTGTACTTAAGTTTGAACTCTAGCACATTATATATATATATATATACTAGAGCTTAGTTGAATTTATTTTTTTCTATCTCAAGAACTAGGATAGATTTCAAATCACAATGCCCCCAACTTTTTAATGATATATACTTTATTATATCTTCTTTTTTTAAATGAAAATCAAGAAATAAGCTCTCATAATGGAAAGTTTAATTGATTGGTCTAATTTGATCTAGCTAGCCATGTGAGAAAAGAAAATGTAGTGTGTCTGGCCATTTTCCCAAATTGTTGTCAAAAGTCATTACCAAATCAGAAGTACGGATGTCCCCCCCACCCCTCTTTATTCCTCCACCATGGAATATATATATATATATATATATATATATATATA